ATTTCAAAAAAAATTTTTTTATCGAAAGAAAAAAAAAAAAAAAAACATATATATATATATATATATATGACAGATTGAGATTGGCAACAGAATCAATTTCTTTTGTTCTTTCGTCTCCAACATCAAAAAGGGTGTGTAATAAATCACTAGCATACTATTTTTTTTTATGTGATACAAGGAAATATAAAAGACAAATCAATCATACATATATGACATATCAACACTTATTTATCTCCTAACAATGAAAGTGGAAATGATATGCCATACATGACTAACGAAATAGTCTGAAAACAAATATGGGGTTGTGTAAATCAACGTATTGATCCTCAGCTTCCAGTGACTGTAAAAATATAGATTCTCTAGGTTCTTCGCTCACTCCACTTTGTGTCGCGTATTCCAATGCCATCTCATAGTCCACCTGCAAGAATAATCAGCAGTTTTAAGTGATCTATGACCAATTGTATCCATCCACTCTAGAAGCCTTTTAAGAATCACCAATCAAAAGGAGATTTTTGTCCAAGTTATGTACATATTTCTGTCAAATCGTCTCATTGCAAGTTATTTAAGCTCCACAGAACTGAGCTCACCTGTTCAACATATTGAGCAAGCTTTTCCATGAGCGTTTCTTTTGTAACCACACGAGCTGAAACTTTCCCGAGTAATTCTGCATCCTCCGCCTCAAAACGTTTCTTCTTTGATGCATGTAACTGTGCCATTCCCTTCAAAACATCATATACGGCACCTGTAACATCCGGGATGTACCTGTAATTGGTATTTAGATTGTTTCAGTTTCATGCAGACAACAAAAGTAACATATTGCTCAATACACTGAAAAAGTTTGCGCAGCTGAGTGATCGATTTTACTTGCTCAGATTTCGTTTTCTCTCCTGCTGCTCGCGAGCCTGCATTTTCTTCACTATCTTGCTTTTTAGCTGGACACAACACTGCTGAATGGCAGACTGAAGACTTGAAATTGTTAGTTTTCTAATTACGTAGTACTATGGTAGAGAACCAATTGTTTAGGCCAGAATTTCCTACCTTGACAGCTGAAGCTATTTCGGTTATATCATCTCCAATATACTCCTTGCCAGTCCCTTTAAAGGGAATTTTTGTGCTTACAATGCTCACAAAAACACCAATTTTATCTTGTGTCTGGTTGATTTTGTAATTACTCCAACTGCAAGAATATGTTTCAAAGGATATCAGTGCCATTGAGTTCTCATCGCTAAAATTTCTTTTTAAAAAATAATTAGAGATTATTGCATTTCATACTTGATCCTCTTTAGGGCAGTCCTGGTGACAACATCAGCGCCCTGCTCAAAAAGAAGTGGTATCCGATTTGCAAATCTGAATATATTCAGACCCTACAAAATGAACAGACAAGTATCATATATCATTCGGGTCTGTGTTTGAAACTGCAGAGAAAAATGGTTGTACTCAATAAGCTACTTGTAGTACTTAATTAGCACGCAACAACATGGCAAGCTAAATCAGTAGACCTATTTACAGAACCAAGCCAGTGGAGAGTGCAAGTCTAACACATGGATCGCGAGTTTTCCTAAATGCAGACCTAGTTAAGTTGGATAATGAAAATAGTTAATCTAACAACTTAGGATCCAAACACTGTCGACCTCTGGTATCAGTAGAGAAAAACCTACTTGCTTCACATCTTTTCCACCCACACTCACACCAGCTTCCACGATGAATGGGTGGCCTTCAAAGACTTGCGCACTGTATGTAGTGGTAGAAAAGAAAACCAGTCAGCAACAAGACTTACCCAGTTGAATCAAGGGATTAGAAAATTGTCAAAAAGTATACAAATTGGGCCCCAAGGCCCAAAGTTCTTGAGAAGGAGAAAGGGAAACAAGATTCAAACACAACCTGCCTGAATAAGTTGCGACCATGTCTGGATGCAGCTCTTTTATAATCCCAAGACGAAGATTATATTCCCCTGCAGGACTTAAACACTACAGAAATTCTTAGTATTGAGCCGATTCACATGACATAAACCAGAAAAAAAAGATTGTTGGGGATATTATTACACAGATTAAGAAAGATATACACGGCCATTGACTAAGGAGCAAGGGAATGCTTACATCACCACTAGGGTCATCGAACTTAGCTTGACGAAATAACTGATGGATCCGAACAATTTGCTGAGAAGTTAGAGACTTAACTGCCATTTTTGGGCTGAAGTTGGGACCCATTTCCCCTTAAAGGAAGAAAACAATTCCAAGTTAGGAACCAACATGTTTTGAGTTAATAAGTTGCTGGATACAGAATAGACAAACTGCCTTTAGCTTCAGGTATGTACCAGGTTCCTGAATTTTATTGTGAAATTGATGTAGACTTTTTATAGTGCATAAGATAATGTTTGACTGGCTGGACTATGAGCAGACTAAAATCATAAAGTTTGTGGCTTGAACCTTCACAATCATACACTATAAACTTCTGCTCTCAACCACATCTACACATTCTAGTAATAAGATACACACTCAAAAAAAGTACACTGTAGTACAGTTAACCCAACTCTATGAATAGGAATATAATATTTTCTTCAAGGTCTTACCTATTAATCGGTCAGCATAAGATTTTCCTATGTTAACAAATTCATGCTGGAGAAACTGCAAAAGGTTCTGTTTTGAAGTTTCTGCAATGAGGCGTTTGATCAACAATAAGTCTACTGATGATGGATGGTGCTTTGTCTCAAGAGGAACCGGTGGCATTACATCGGTTCTTCGTGCAAACCGGATAGTTACAGTTTTACTGCAAAAGAGCAAATGCAAATGGTACATTATATGTCTTTCTCTGTGTGCACGTGCGCCCGCATCAGAGAGAGAGATAGAGAGACAGAGAGAGAGAGACAGAGAGAGAGACAAAGAGAGAGACAGAGGGCATACTCAGATGCATCTGATACAAATTTGAACAGAAACTGGGCATAAGGGCTGATAACAGCCATCTGTCTCATGTAATGCAATATCTTGGACTGCACACGCCAAAAAAGAGGTTTCTTGGTTAAGAAAACTATTGAACCACAAGTCCACAATGGACAAACTACTCTAAAAATGCACTGGCTACGACGAACTAAAATGGAGGAAAAAAAAAAAGGTGCCAGTCACAAGGTGGGTACACGGTAAGTTGTCCAGTTTCCCTCAATTACAACTTGTATTTCAGCTCCATGCCATCTTTCCTTGTTATCCCGCTTTTCATGTGCATGAACATGAGGAATGTTCCTGAAAGCTCGAAAAGAGTACCATTATGATAGTGAACAAGAGTAAACTCTTGAGCTCAAATTTCAACTTTTAGAACTACTGGTTTCATGCTTCCCCAGATGAAACTTCTAAGAAAACAAGACATACACAATAACACAGCACATACAACTATAAAATTGCATCAATCTAGAAAGAGATTCAGGTTTGTTTAAATAACTATCAATGAACTAGTACCTTGCATCAATCTAGAAAGAGATCCAGGTTTGTGTAAATAACTATCAATGAACTAGTACTGTTTTTCATTATGCTGCACCTACCGATGAATATCTATATCCAGCCTGCAGAATGAAAGGTAATTTTGTCCCTTCATTGATGATGAGATCTCTATAGGAAGCCCCGTACTCATCTTAGACCAAATCAATGCCTGCATAATTGGAAATAGGACATAAAGTTATGAACAACTGACCTAATTCCATGAAAGCATAGGAATATGATATCCAAGTATTACCATCTTTGCACCAAGACCAAACTTCCCTCGTGTCTGCTTCAAGCCATATTTTGTCCCCGATAGAACTGCATGAATTCATTCATTTACATAAGCTCATGAATGTCCAAGAAAGAATCATATAATGAGACAAGTACAAACAAGTTTGTGTATGATTAAAATTATGTGGAAAAGTATGGAAACTTGGTTAACAGGGTAACTCTGAACCTCGTCCAAACATATTTGGGATATCATCATGCGGCATTCC